ATAGCGCGTGACCATAAGTCACGGATTGTCACAGCTTAATTCACAAAACAAGTCACGTACGCGGCGGAAGGGAATAGGAATGGAAGGAAATTGAAAATATATTTCCTAGGTTAGGAAGAGAAACATTTAAAAAATCCGTTAAAAATGTCTAAAAATATGTTTTAATGTTATTAGTAGCTTCGTTTATTTTAGTTGTTAAATAAAACTGTGATTGTCATTATATACCTTTTTTTTGTTCACTAGTTTAGATGCTATCTCGTGTTTTATTTGCTTTGTTTTCAATTTAATTTAATTATTCTACCTATCTATCGATCTATTAAAATTAACTTTAAATTGAATTAATGGCCATGAAATTAAGATAAGTTTTTGAAATTTTGTTTTGCTTATGTAGTTTATTTTCAACTGTAGAATGACTGATAAAGGCACAAACAAAAAGTATATTTTTATAAAATTCCTTGCCCATACGTTTATCAAATTAGTTTTCAATTTATGACACAATTTATTTTTATCTCTCTGCGGCGGCAATTAATCTTCGCTGTCTAAAAATAATAAAGTCCCTTCTATTCCAGATATTTCCACCGAAATGCATACATAAATAAAGGTACAGTGCGCTCTCTGACGAGAGAATTTTTCCTGGCAGTAGGTTTTTTTTAATATTTAATATGTTTTTTATGTTCTTGATACTTTGTGATCGTTTAGTGTACGTTTTCTTTCCACTAAATCTTTATAAGTACTTCTATAGAACAACATTTAGATCTAAATATATCCAACTCAGATGTTTACAAAATGATAAATTATATAATAATTAAATATTTTGTAAAAAAGGTAATTGTTCTAAGTGAATCATTAAATTTTTCCAGTGGAGTAGGTAGAAAAATAGATAATTGCAATGTCTGAATGACTCTTTTTCTCTTGGTGAAGTGATTAGATAAAGCCTTGTAACAGTGAAAACTATCTGTTTGTTTTGCCTGTTCCCTCCTAAGAGCACCCACTGTATGTGTATACAACAAACACAAGTGAAAATCGATGAGAGACATGTCCCGTTGTGAGAACATCTGTTCGAGGGTAGCAGCAGCTGTGAGAGGGGGCGGGGTGGTGGGAGAGGGCGGTGGTCGGTGTGTTTTTCGGGTGGGTGATTCGTTTTGGTATTTCCCATTTTCCTGCTGGTGCACACTTTTTGGCCCTAACAAAAACGAAAGTTGGTTGAACTTCGATGAAATTTTCGTGCCGGCTGCAGCGAAAAAAGGCAATAATAAGGATAACACGAATAGTGCAAAGTGCCAGAGAGCGAAAAAACGGCGGTAATTATTGTCCTTGAGCGCAGGCGAGAAAGGAAGAGAATAAAGAGCGAGAGAGAGAGCAGCTGATGGGAGGGCAGAAAAAGGAGAAAAAGGGAGAACCTCGACGGCTGCTGCAGATTATTGATTTTCAAGCAACAAAAGGAAAATTCGCTATTGCAAGGGAGATAGGAAAACTTTCTTAACTCACCCGGCACACACAATTTCCCCAGAAAGCCGCACCCTAAAGCTACATACCTCAAACTCTTTCAATACCTAGCAAATTACTAAATTTTGTCTTAATAATTCTTATAATAGTCCGCCGTTACAAAAGTATACTTTTGTGCGAAAGTATAAGGCTGTTTTATAAGGCTACTGTTTTTAAAATCTAGCCCTATTTAACCGTAAAAAACTAGGTACTTTTAATACAAAACATACATCGTGTAACTAAATTGGGATACATTTTTTCTTGAGGCTACCTGTTCTGTAAGATTGTAAACCCTTCGGAAGTCTTCAAAATTTTTCGGTAAAATGAAAAGCATATTCTGTGGTACTTTTAATATACAACTCTATCGAAAGAGGTTATAATTTTTTTTCTATTTCTAGAAATAAATATCTTTAAAGTTTTTTAACGTAATTTTGTTTTTAAACGTTTAACTAAAAATTAAATTTTATAAGAACTAAGTATTTCAATCCCAGAGGTTACAGAACATACTAGTAGTTCTCTCCTTTGTTCACCCTAGCGAGTTTACACTGTAAGATTAAAGTACCCACCTGCAATAACGGTGTCCGTGAGAGAGTACTTCGTTCCCGTCCTGGGAAAGTCCTTCAGCTTGCGATTGGTCAGGATCAGTTCGCCGCTGAAGTGCGCCTCTTCCAGGATTCGTTCCAGCGAGCGCGTCAGCTGGGAGTGACTAAGGAGGGCGGAGGAGGATGAGGTGTTTACATGGCCTGTTCCGGTTCCCGATCCCGTTCCAGATCCTGGAAAGGAAGCCGACCCGCTGCCAACTGCGCTGCCGGCGGCATTGCCGACGCCAACCGCGACGCTATGTAGGCGTTGGTAAACCGTTGCTGCCATTTCCCGTGTGGGCGTGGCGATCACACGCACTCACGCCACCAAAACACACACACACACACACAAACCGAACTGAAGTGCCGAAGAAATAATACTGGTGACTAAATTTGCACTATTGAAACGCACGCATCTCGATTATTTTTCATTTAGTCTTCGTCTTCATTGATAAGATTTCTCGGAATTGGATTTTCCTTTTGCGGCTTCCTTCTTGCTTCCTCTTCTTTGCCTCCTCACACACACGCGCACTCACACAGACAGGCGGCAGCGGAGCGAACAACGGCGCGCAGCAAAAATCCAAAAACAAATGATGCAGTGAGACCGCGGACCCATAAACAATTTAAACTGTCCGGCTTCATGAACAATACTTATATTTTTTCAAATATTCCAAACGGTAACTCTTCAACTAACAGAGGCTATCGATTATTTGACACATCACTAACGGCGCGAAACTCTCGCTCTGTTACCTTTTAACGGAAATGTTAAAGAACAACTTGTACGCTACATATTTAGAGAAGCGTCTATTCTTTATAAGATTTGCACAATTAAAATATGTTTTGCATCTAATAGTTTTTAATCCTTAAGGAATTTATACACTTTTATCCACTTTATACACTTTTAAAAACATAAATATTCCTGTGCTAGCTAAAATCTTACAAAAATCAATCTTTAAGAATCAAACTAACTAAATATCTTTTAAACAACATTAAAAGGATTAAATTACTGTGAGTTTCAAATATTGATACCCAATTTAAGACTAAACAATCCTTAACAGTTTAAGAAAAGCCTTTTTTGTAGACTTGTATCGATGTTTCTTTTAAATTTTAAATCGATTTTCTAAACAATATTTCTCTCCACCTCTAGCTATTCTGTGCTTGGATGGTACCGATCTGTACCAGAATTCATTTTTGATGAGCTAAGCGCCAACCCACGAAAACATCTTATCTTAAATATAGACTACGGATATACAAAGGTAAAAATGTTTATTAAATTCTCTGGAGAAAGTCACTAATGTTCAGCTATTTTAATTTCAGAGCAATGGGGAAAGAATGCTTACTTTGCCTAAGGGAGTGCAAAGACATGATAAATATTTTCGAAGGCAGTCGACAAGTGGGTTTCTCCGTCGTGATAATGATTTCCAAATTGACTGGCCGTCGTCAAGTTGAAAGAGGAGACATGATCTCCGAATTTATGTGCCGTCCTTGCTTGTGGAAAGCAAAAAAAGCATTTGATAAAGGGGAAAGTAAGCAGACATCCTTTAAAACAAGGAAAGAGGATATGCAGGAAGATTTACCGGAGAACATAATATTATTGGATAGTGAGAGTGAAAGACCGCATTCAACCGAGAATACCCAAATTAAGAATGAGGAATCATCTGATAAGGCGATTCAAAGGTTCCTAGGCCAATCTCAAATTGCACAGTGGGCCAGTTTTTGGCAAAAAGTATGGAGTTGCTGCACCTATATACTGAATAAGCTGAACCTATGCTTTTTCAGTAGTAATAGTGATAGTAAACAAAATTGAAATAACTTGTTTGGATAATTTTTTTGTGATTATAAATTTGTACCACTTAGATTTTTAAATTTATGTACATGTATATGTAGCCTGGAATCGTATTCAAATTAAATATATATTCTGCATTTTTAATATCACTTAATTTATATAATTTAGCTAAATCTATAATAAATGTATTTTGAAATACCGTTAGGGAGACTTTGTTGGTCCACCCCAAAAAGTCCCAAGTCGGACTATCGATTGATTTCCCCAGCCGCAGCTATCGATAGACGCACTGCACCGCAACGGTCCTCCCATCCCTAGCCCAGTGCAACAACAAAATTCCAACGCATCGCTAACGAATTGTGCAAAAAATTCTAAAATTAGTGTAAAATAGAGCAAAAACGCGTTGTTTTTCTAAAACGTTTTCGCAGTTCGGTGTGGCCAGTACGTGAGCTTATCTTATCTGTGTGTGTGCGTTAAACACACACCAATACGAGTGCGTTTTCTCGCGTCCCTTTCCATCCCCTTTTTCTTGTTCTTCCTCTTCTATAACTGTGTCAAATCAACAACAACAATAAAAAATAGAACAGTGCTCGTGTGTGTGTGTGTATGTTAAATGCACAAATTGATAAGCAATTTGATTCAATTTAATCTAGTTTAAATCAGCTGAAAATCAGTGCAGCCAGCAGCCAAAAATAAATTATAAATGCTAAATTACTAATCCATATAAATAGAATACCCTTGAGTGGTTTTTGTGTGCGACTAATTAATTCATTCACATTTTTGGTTCCGCATTTTTTTGAAATTATAACGAAGTTTCAGCTGTGGAGGGCAACAACAAAAAGCGGTTTTTGTTTGTTTTTCAAGCTCAACGAAAAAAAGAAGAAAAGAAATCCGCTTCCAATCAGCTGTTCCAAGCAACCGCCTTAGTGCGAGTGAGACAGCCTATGTGCGCGCCAAAATAAAACAGCAACAACAGTGGCACAGTGGTTCGAAACCTAGCTAAATGCTATAAATCAATTTGTTTTTATAGCTACACATTTTTGGAAGGAATATTAAACTATTATACTTAAATCTGTTAAGGTAAGTAATCAGCATTCAGTCATTTTTAACTAATATTTAACAAAACCCAAAATCATGTTTATTTTCTCAAGTTTTTTAAATCGTTTACATTTAATACGCGTGTGTCCTAAAGAAGTGATATATTAAGTAAAAAGTGAAAAATGAGTGATGAAACGGGCGATTCGGGCGGGGCAACAGCCCCACTTCCATCGCCATCTAATGCGGATACGGAACCAGGAGCTACTGCCTCCAAAATACCGGGTCCAAGCAGATCCAATATTCCCACGCCCGCTGCTTCAGGTACCGGAATCCCGCAGCCCAGCAAAATGAAGGCACCATCCAATTTCGGATCTACCGGGTCTGTTTCCAAAATTGGAAGACCCTGCTGCAATCACACAACCCCTAAATCTGGGCCACCACCAAGAGGTGAGTTCAAATCGTTTGTATAATGCAAGTCAGGTAATATTTCAGTTAAACCAAAAATTTAGAATCTAAAGGTCTTTTGGGAGTGTAAATATCTTTTTATTTATTTATATACTGTTTGCTTAAAGCCATAGCTACTTAGGCTTTGGGCTTGTAAATATCTTATTTTAAGTCATAAGTCATAATTTCACATAATGCTATAGGCAAGTCTTTAAACTGAAACTCTCTATGTCTAATGGGAGTATAAATATCTAAGTTTAAATCATGTTTAGAACTCGAATTTTATTTGATATAATTTTTTAAACATCCATGTTCCTGCGATCATTATAATTCTTTTGTGTAAGCGTTTTGATTAAAAAAAAATTAAACAAATTTAATATTACTGGAAATAGATAATAAAACGAATATAATATTTTTGTGTTTTTAATATTAATTTGTTTTGACGATAGCTAAAATCAATAGTCATCTAATTAGTATTGTTAGTCACATGATTCAGCATAATTCTTTTTTTTTTAAACTGTGTTTTAGGTAAAAAATAAAAAAAGTATATATCGTTTTCAAATGAATCGGAAAACAATAAACCAAATCCCCTTTGAAAACCTTGTCAGTGTCATATTAAAACTAACATTAAACTTGATTCCCTAAGTCAATTTTATTTCACAGTTTAAAACATTTTTTTAAAAGGGCTTTTCCCGGTTTGCTTTTTTTAAAGCAAGCTCGCGCATTCTGTCAGTGTTACAATCGTCTCAAAATAACCACTCTGAAAATTATTTTTGCGAGAAAATATCGCTTTAACTATGTTTTAATAAACTCTTAATCGGGGTTGTTATAAATTAAGTTAGCCGAAAATGGGTATTAGCAGAAAAAAGAAAGCCAAAAAGAATGGTAAGTTTAACAGACAGAACTTAACTTATAAACGTGAAAGAGAGTTTGTAATTTTGAGTTCGTTTCCTATAAGGTCTACATATTTCTTCCGCCCTCAACATTTACTATTTCGAGATTGCACTTATTTCGTGTTTATATCTTGGGCTCAAACAAGTCATCTGTAATTCCGGTTCGAACCAACTGCATCCACCTACATAGGCACCCACTAGATGTTGTTTTGTATATACTATACGCCAATAAAATGATCTAATGGAACGATGACAGACCCACTCACTTGCTGAAAATATATACGCTGACCCCACCCACTTTGCGTGCACTTTTTGCACTACATTGAACTCTACAAAAATGTATAGATACCTCGGGAAAAAATCTAAATTCTTTTAAAGAACCCATTAATAATATAATTGTGTAATTCCCACCGTCAACCGTTTTGTTTGGTAAACAAATGCTTCACTTCACTCAATTATTTAATCGTTTTGGTACACCAACGCTCAAGACAAAAATAAACAAAACAAATTGCCGCCTACTCCAAACTCTCGATCATAATTATAGAGCTGCCCCGAAAAGTGTTTTTTGGGAAGGAGAATTATGGCCAATTAGGCAAGTGCTGCTACCATTTAATTGATCCGCCCAATGTGGCTCATTTCAGGCACGTAACCTAACCGCAGCCGTCAACAATCGGCGACCCACTAGCCCATATAGCAAACGATCTGCCAAACGATCCATCGATCGATCGACGGGTTTTCTATTTCACAGGCACACGTTCCATATCCAATTGACAGTCGCAATGTAACCGCAAAATCATAGAAAGCCTCCGGGCATTGTTACCCAAAATAAACACAAAAATGTATTGCAATATTATTACAGATTAAACTGAGTCACGAGGTGCATGTGATGCGTACAGTGGTTATGAAAAATATAGCACCCAAGAGAACTGTGAGTTAGGCAATCACATATTTTAATTTTGATTAACTCTTTCATAAGATTATATCGCCACCTCATTTTTAATATATTACCAACTCAACTACATTTAAAAGTAATTTAATAATTACAACAGGATTGTTTATTGTACATAATAATGGAATTAATTCAATGAATTATGTTATTTGAGACATGTAATAAGCATTATTGAAGTAGTTATATTACTTGATTACTTAGTAAACAATCCAAGTGATAAGCAAGCTTAGTAAGAAGTAATGGTCTACTTTGGTTAACCTTAAGCCATTACTAATATAAGACACAGATATTTGACTCGCTGTCTAAAGCCAAATCAGTTCCAAGCTTAACGCTTTGATCCGCTAACCAAATCAGCTTTCTAAAATCTCTCCTAACATTCTGAAACGGACTGTTTGACTCTCTGCCAAGACCTGTCATTTACCTCGCCACACGTCTGAGCAAAAATCTCCCCAACTCGGAACCGAGAAAAAAAACCTGGCGACCGGCCGGCAATCTTTCTCTCAGTCGCTCCCTAATTGAATTTTGTTCTGGCGATGACACAGAAAATACACACAAAATGTATCTTCTGGTATGTAACTCTGTGTTTCCCGATCTTTCGAGGTGTTTTTGCGCTGCGCATTTGATGCCGGGTTCCGTTCTCAGCCGATCTGATATGATCTTTTGCGGTCGCCACATGGCTGAGGTGCTCGTGGATGAGCTTATGTCACTTTTATTAGGTTTCGATCGGAAACAAATGTGGAGCCAGCCTCTCTCTATCGTCCATAAAACAGAAAGCTCATTTGTCTTCGCATTAAGATTGAATCGAAATGGGGTCCGGGATTGACGTCTAATGGATGAGCATCGTCTGGCGGGGGATTACTCCATTAGATTCTAGATAAAGCCTGGGTTTGTTTACATCACCAACTGAGTGGGAGAGTCAATATTATTGTTATGATTAGCAACTTTTTGTCTTACTTATTTGACTTCACTTCATTAAGCCGTTGAAATCTTTATAATTGAGGACACGTGTTGAATATTTGAACAAAAAACGTTTCAGATTTCATCCAAAAAAATAAGAGTCTTACCAAAAAGGAACAGAGCTTTATGTGATACAATAAATCATGTTCTCCAATAATTGAGTAATGATTCGAATTAAATATATTAGTATTTCCTCAATCTTTTCTTCTCTGCAGCCATTTGCTTATAAATCTGAAAATGCTTTCCCAGACACAGCTTTAACATTTTCATTGCCTTTTATTTATAGGTATTTCACAGAGCAATCTAAAAATAATTAACTTTAATTAACTGGAAAAGTTTTCTGGAGTTCGGTTGTTTAATCTCTCCAAGAATTTTTCAATTTGTTTCACTACGTGGAATCTTTTAAAACAATTCCACGCGCTTTACGAATGGACTTTAATTTTTTAAAAGCTACTTAAAGAAGTAAAAAGAATCTGCAAAGAAAATTAAAACTTTAAGTAGTGTGACAATTTGCGGACCACCATAAAAGTACATTTTGTTTTAAAGTACATATAATAGAAGTGTGTATACATTTAATCACCAAAAATTAAACAATATTTTAAAAAAACTAGCAATTTAATAATTAATAAAAATAAATATGACTCGTATATAAACATTAAAAACTCAAAAAATGTTATTCTGTGCTTAGTAAGTAATCTCAATCATTTATAAAATTTTGTTAAGAATTAAAAATGCCACAAAACTTTTTGAAAATAAAAACTAAAAAGTGGGTGAACTGAAATATTTTATCTAAACATTACTTGTGAATCATAATTATGATAAATAATTTTCTAAGTAATCTTAACAAAAACTTTAAGCAAAGCTAACAAAATTTTTGTTGAAATTAAAAAATCAAAAAATTCTTCTTTTTTTTCTTAACAAGATGTATACTTAGGAGTTATTAAATTGGAACATTAACTATTATATCTTATCTAGAAAAAAATCTTTATGAAAAAACTTGAGAGGAAATATTGACATTTTGAACTCTTGATCCATCACCCCAATTATGAAGCTTTCACTGCACTTAGGGACAAAGTGATAAAAGCCATTAACCGATCGATCAATATCGGGTCGAAAAAGAGGAAAACAATTGCAGCTATGTGGCAACACTTTGTTTGCTGGATTTACTTAGCGTACGCGTCCGTGCAAAAGTTGAAAATAAAAACAATTTTTTTTACGGCTCTTATTTTACGCGAGTAGACGTTTATTCAATAAAAACACAGAAAGCGCGGAGGCATTGCCACAGTGTCTGCTATTAAACACTGGCCAACAAAGCTGAGATTCCGGATTGCCAATCCGCTTCGGCGAGAGAGCGACGAATACAAAAGTATCTCAAAGTTTGCGCTGGCTTCGCTTTGCGATTGGCGCTCGCCGTTCAGTTACTTGAACGACTTTTCGCGAAGCGGACGTGTTGGACGCGTTATTCCAGCTCAGATGGCAACCAATTGAACTTGATCGGCTCTATACTATAGCTACTATATAGTGAACACGCAAACGAAATTGAACAAATCCAAAATAAAAGCCAGCTCTAATACAAAACCAATTCATCGTTATAAAACTCACAAAAGGTGATTTGGAGTGCTAGCTAAAAAAATTACAGACATTATATCTGAATATCCCAGACTCTAAATATCAGGCTCATAAGAAGGAACTGTTAAGTCAAAAGTTTTGTGAACCTTTTTTAACGTCCTTGTCGTTGCCCTAAAAGGATCTCAGTTTATTTCGGTGCGAGATATTTTTGGAAACTTTTGCTTTTCATATTTCAAGTGACAGCCTTTGACCTTGGTTTCGTCTGGTTGATTACCATTTGTTAATCAAATATATTCTTTTGTTGCTCTGTGAAACTGTGATTTGGCTGTGATTTCCACATACTGGCCTCATAAATATTCATTTAGTTTTTTTTGTGTCTTAGCCAAGCCTAGAACTTTTTCAAGTTCTTTTGTTTAATTTGGTTTTATTGCACTTAGCGATAAGATATTTAGTTACTATCTCTTCATTCAATTATAACAATTTTAGGTGCTTATCATTTACCCGATTTTGTTAGGGCTTGGCTCTTTCATGTATGTTCAATTTAATGACAACTATAATTTGGCAAAAAATCAATAAATAACATTCCGAAATTTCCTTGGTTTTTATAGTCGTGTGACTAATTAAATGGCATTTTTGAATAGTAAACCTATTTTAAAGTAATAAAAGTAGCAATTATGCAAAACTAAAGACCATGAAAACAAAGACCAAGGACTTAGATATACTAATTTAAAATGATTGGCAACTTGAATGATCATAAAATAGATAATTTGAAACAGTTTTAAAAATGTTTAGATTACAATATTGATTTTCAAGAACTGTAAAACAATAGTTCTCAGGGTTTGACCCTTGGCATTTCCACAATCATGTACTTCTAGCCCTTTCCATAAGCCATTATCGATGTACTGAGAACGAAGCTAATTAGGGATTTTCCGCTGACATCCGCTTTTTCCTGTTTACAAGTACTTATATAAGTAAATTGACGCACAAAAAACATGTAAATGGGCTAAGCACGTGTCCCCAACCTCCCGCTCATTGAAATGTCGGCTAAATCGACAAGATAACCTTAAGGCATTCTATATCTATCTGTATCTACAATAAACTCTAGGCAACAACAAAAGTTCATTTGCCGAAACAGCAATAACAAAGTTCGGTTGCGGATTGTATTGAAAATTTGCGGTTAACCGCTAATTAGATATACAAATTTGTTATTGCTGATTTGTATTTTGACTGAAAGGGACACAAATGCTGATCAGTCTAAAAATACGTAGATATACATATATATGCGAAATGGAATGACTTTCACAGTGGCAATATTTGCATATTGCTCAAGAGTTTGATTTTTAGTGCAATTTGGTTTTTGTTTTATTTGTTTGTGATTTGGTTTGTGGGGCTCGTCGTTGACGTCTTATTGCCAAATGAAGTTGGCTTCCACCGGCGACTAACACTTTATGCAAATTTCAATTTTTATATTTAGTTGTCTGCGGCTAACTTTCTTTCCGTTTTTGTGGCTTTCTTTTCACTGCCACGTTCCGTTCGCATAACGCACATTTTGTCTGTCAATTGTCTACACATTTTGGACCAGGCCAAATGTTTTCATTCGCCTTGGCTTTGGCATTGTTATTGTTAACTGGTATTTTATCAGCTCAACATTTTTCTGTTTTTTTGTTGTACTTTTTATTATTATTTTGGTTCTATTGAAACCGGCACAACAACACTGTGGTGATAAGAAAAACACATTTTTATTTTGGGTTTCTCTCTTTGGCATTGCCAACACAAAAAGGCTATAACTTTTGCTGTTGCCATGTTATCTTTGAATTAGAAATGAGTGTTAGATCTACACGTATTATTTCGCTAGGTAGTGCAATTCTTACTCATTTTGGATGCTGATAAGTCTACTGATTGTAGACGGCGAGAGATTGAAAATATTTTCAAGGAATTTTAGATAGAAGTTTAAGAATCAGTTAAATAATCTATAGCTATTTTTGGAAACGTTGGTTTGAAGTTTGGTATGAGCTAGATTTGTACCTATATCTTTATATAGAGATAAATAAAATACAAATGATCTAGAATAGCTACCCTGTAAAAGTTATGAATACTGAAATGTACATTTTAAAACGCAAAAGATTATTCATAGGGAATTTTAGAAAAATTTCAAGGCTTCTGCTGCTTACACAAATGGTATTGAAAGATCGTATATAGAACTAGATATATGAAGATTACACAATCCACCTGTACAAACTGGTGGGCGTGTGTCATAAAGCCTTTTGAAGGCATCCACTTGACATACTGATCATCCCATCTGTCCAACTGGGATGAAATACCCATATATTTCACACCAACTACCGAAAACAAAATTCTATATACTTTTATATATTTGCTGTGGATCCCGCCACCAGTAATAATGATCTGTCGTCATTCTACTCAATTTAGTCGGTTTGTTTACACATTTTTATTGTTGCTGTTGACGTTCGTTATATTTGATTTATATTTATATATTTTTTTAAGCTTCCCCCAATGAGCTCAGCTAGGTATTTGTTCTACAATTGTTGGCATCGAGAGGGCAACTTAAGTCGTGGTGGGTGGTTTATGTGGCGTATGAGTAATGTGCGATGCTGTTATATCACGTATACGCCCCGGCTAATTTGCACTGCACTTTGTTTGCCACTCATTTATGAGCATTTAATTGCGGTAAATGCGCTTTTCTTCGGCTAATTGCGTTTCACACGCCTCGAAAATGATTTTTTATTTTGTATTTATTGTTTCGCCTCTTTTCTTTGCTTTTCCGCCGGCGGCACCTTTTACTTTTTCTCACTGACTTCCCCGGCAATTTAATTACAGTTTCTTTGACTAAACACAAATCGGTAATGAAAAGAGAAAAAAACTGAAAAAGGTGTAACCACCTTTGGTTAATTAATTTTTTTGGTTCGTACCTGGTTTTCTTTTTTTTTCGATTATGAAATAATATTTCAGTTTGCACCTGTTTGGCTTGGAAATCTTTTCAAATGATTTATTGTCACAACTGAGTGAACTGGAGTCTTTCTCTGGACTTTCGTGTAAACAAACCCATTATTGCCTCCATTTTTTCCGATCTTTTTTTTCGTAAGCTTATTTTTGGCCAGCATTTTTGTTTGTTTCTTTGTTGAGATACTTTTCTGCTTCTAATGAATTATTGGCCTCTGAAGTTTTTCGTAAGCTTAATGGAAGTATTCATTAAGAAAAGTCAGTGGACCTCACAAGAGGAAAGCTATTGGATTCCTGGAAATAAACTTAAATTTATTTTTACCAATTTAGTTAATTTATTTATAATATCTTGACTATATCTAATTTTTCCACAGTGGTAAGACATTTTTTTCAATCTATAATAAAAATGGGGTCCGGATGTTACTTTATGATGTTATTTTTTCTTTGCCATATCAAGCCCCAACCAAAACCAAATACTTCAGCACCAATTTAACAACTAAACAACAATTTTAATCACTTTTTGGTCATTTTTCGAGTTCTCTTTCGTTTGCCCATTGTTTTGCTTACACTTCAGTGCTTTTAATTATTTCGTATGCAATAAAGCTCTAAGCAAGAACAGAAAAGGCAAAAGTCAAATAAATTAACACGTCACTTACACAATTCTCGGACCGAAGCACTTAAGTCTCGCTTGAAATAGCCCAAAGTGCTAAGTTAAAGTTTTCAACAGACATGCGTACTTAAATATATTTGTTAAATTAAAATTTAATGGTTAACGCTCAAGGGTTTCACATAAATAAAATAAGTATTGCCTCTTTACTATCAAAATTTTATGTGAGAAGTCCAAAACGTTTAGGAATAAATTGGGAAATAATTATTATTCAAAAAGTAAATAATAATTAAATTGTTAAAAAAACTGTTTCTTGTCAAAACTTTACCCAAACTAATATTTAAGTGACTCCCATTAGATTTGATGGATGATAGATGATGGCTCTCCTTTAATAATGACATTTATGTCCACTTTGGGGTCTTAAATACTGTTATAAATTGCGACACGCCCACATTTTAAAGTCTGCAATCGAGCAGTCGAAATGAATTCCAATTCCCATTATGTGTGGGTTGCACAATCGAATTTTTATGGCAACTGACCAAATACAAAGCAAATTACTTTCAGCATTCTTCGCTGGCTTTTTAGCCAAAAGTGTCTGAAGAGTCTTTTTCATAATTTGACAAAGCAAACAAACAATAATTAAGTTGTTTTTCAGCTTATCTTAAGATCGAAAGCACACGCGTCTATCGGAATATTAATTATTCACAAATAAAAAATAAAAACACTTAAGTTGCTTATTTGTTTAACTTTTATAGTTAGGTTGTTAATGGTGGCTTTGGTAAACAAATATTGATTGCAAGTGTAAAAGTCAAATGTCAATTCGAATTTATTTTTAAAATTCTGTTAGCTTTTTCTTTTTTTATAGGTCATTAATAGTGTCTAGTTTCGTTCTGTTATTGGAACTGGTTTTTTCAGTTTTTGCATAATATTGATGGATCACTTTAGCTGAAAATGCTAATTTATGTTGGCGAAGCACCTCCAGGTTGTGTTTCCCAAGGGAAGGAATTGACATTAATTTTATAGTCATTGAATTTTGTGATCTAGAGACTGTATGATTTTCTGGTCTTATCTTGTTAGCAACTTCTTTATTCATTAGTTTTTTAAACAGCTCTGCAAATAACGATTTGGCTGAATACCCAGAATATATATATTTAGATAAATTGATCTGTTTTGGTAATTACTGGTTATAAACTTTGAAATGCCGCATAATATCATGTTACTTTTTATATTCTTGATCGTAGTTTTATATTTATGTCAAGTTTAAGCTTTAAATCCGATTTTTAACTGATCATATTTCTTGTCTTTAAGATCTTTGATAATATAATTTAATGGTATTCATATGTAAATATAAAGTAGTGGGTTATTAATATATTTTGTTGGGTGCTCGTCATTAGTCTTTAAAAAAATACTTAAAACAAAGATAATGCAGTTTTTTCCAGAATATCTTTTTGCAGAAAATTTCAGTCATTTGAGTCTGCGGAAGCAGTTGGCTAAGCTGCCTATATCTTTCAAGCAATTCCGAGAAAACCTTCACCCAACACTCTCTAGTTATCTAATCTCTTTGAAATGAAATAAGACTCTTTTGGGGTGGGGAGGTTGATCTGCCAGAGCGACCCATAACTAATTGCCACTTTTGCACATTACTTTTTTGTATGCCTTTTATTTTAGCCTTATTTTTTTGGCTAAGCTTTCTGGGCCCGTTACCATGGCCTGAATTTGCTTGGCTTGGCCCTTAGCTGTAATTATATTTTAATTTTAAGTTAACTTTTATGTGCTCTTAATTTGCTATGCTCACTTTGCGTTATTTTGCGCATGTTTCTTTTTTCCGTTTTTAATTTTATTTTTAGACACCGCCAGCATGAGTCGTGAAAGCGATGACAATTTAAGTTCGATCAATTCGGCTTATACAGGTAATTACACTTTTATGTTTCACTTATATTTAATTGATTGCATTTTTTGTTCACTTTAATTGGCTTCTGCGTTACATTTAATCTCTTCCCACGACATTATTAATTTATAATTAATTTTCAATTAATTGCTTGTTGATGTGGGCGAAATTAACACATCAGTGTTAACATCTTTTTGGGCATAACATTTATCGATTTGGAGCTCAATGGGAATTTGTTGCAAGATATTAACACGTCATGAAATGGGAAGGTAAAAAAAATCCTAATACAAAAAAAATTCCTTTATAAAAAGATATGAGAAAAACACTTTTAAAACCACTTCAAATTATCATATAGAATTTACATTGTATATGAAATATTGATAAACTTCTAAACGAAAACAAATTGGAACACATTTTTAAAAATCTTTAACCTAGTTACTTAGAATGTGGAAAGGAAAATGAAATACCCCTGTATCTTATCAGTCTTGTTGACGTTTATCGACCTAGTAATCATTTCCATTTCATTAACATTTTGTATACCTCAATGCAATTTGTATTAACCCTGAAACAAGTCACTGTTCCTTCCTCCCTCAAACTTTTGGTTCAGTGATCTGGGAACAAAAAAACAGACGTTTCATTGCCTTATCTACTTGTGTATGCAACATCTTCCCTCAGATAGGCAAAATGTCAAAACAATCTCACGATCTACGACAGCCTAAAGATTGTATCTATATCCCATTCATGTATTCCAATCAAAGGCCTATCAAAGTCAGCCGTAATCAGTCATAATTTTAATCGCTTTTTACCTTAGCCGTAGGGCAACTTCATTAGGCTAAAAACGTCTTTACAGACGACGCCGTTTTCATTGGAATGTTCATTCAACTGTTTGCCCTTCTGCCACATGTGTGTCTTAATTGTATTTTTCATATCGCATTCGGAACACGTTCTAAACTTTAACAAATTTTAATTGTAATGCGAAATACGCGACTGGAACAGAGGCTCAACCGGATTTTTTGGGTATTTACTATATAGTATACATCTATAATTAATAATATATGGGACACGCCTTTAACCGATCAGCGCGAGTCACGTAAGCATCTTCATCTGGAAAACCCGTTTTCTATTTGGTAAAATTCTAGATTGTCGCACAAAGATTACTGTTGAAAACATTTAGCATTTCAAATAATGGCAGATAAATATTCATATAAATCCATTGGCGATGCAATTATTGTGTGCCCAGAACAATGAGCAGAAATTAAATCAATTGAGATAAAAATTGGCTTGCTACAACAGGTACAGTAGGGAATATTTAAAGTGGAATATTTAAAAGTTGCAAAACACTAAGTCAAGACGTCAGGAAATACAAAGATAAAATCGGGGGCTTGTAACTAAATTACTTTCAGCCACACCCCCAAATAAAATTTGTATTTATAACAGTGCTATATTTATCCAGACTGCACTCTCATGAAAAGCTTTACTGTATCCACTCGTGCATTTCAGTGGAAATGTTGGCGCAGCCCACAGTGAACAGGAATTAGAGATCGGCAATCAACAGCTAATAATCAGTTTTTGTCGGCATTTGCCAGAGAGACCCGCAAATGGATTTGCATTTAACATGCCGAAAAGTCATGTAAGTCATGCACAGTCCGAGCCTGGGGTTGTGAAAAACTACTCGATATGTGGGTAGCCGAAGCTGCAGTAAAAACTGGACAGAAATTGGTTTGTAAGGCAGGAAAATACACGCGAAAATGTATTGCAAAACATCTGAGGAAAACAGAAACAACTAAAGATATTTAATGTCAAGTGATTGGCACACTATGTCTAGGTTTTATTTAAACCTTTGTATTAGTTGTTTTTAAATTAAATTAGGTTGGGATAGGTTTTGGTCTTTCTTAAAAAATAAACATAATTTCGATACTTGACATCTTTTCTTATGTAAAATTTGTTGTCCTTATGGTAAAAAGTATACTTTAAGCTGAGAAAACCCTCAAATATGTAGCCTTTGCCATTGGGACTTTAAAAGTTTTTTTTAGAGGTATGATAATTCTTAAGAATGAAATTGTTTTTCCTATTGAAGTTGTTATAGAAAATTTATATTAATAGTAAAGAATAAAAGATAAAATGGTTTTTACTTTTAATTGAATTTTAGAATTTTATTTACTTTCTACAAAATTTCATTATTTTTGATCAGTGTAAAAACCCACATTAGATCGAGATACGAATCGCTTAGAACTGCAATTGCAACCTACATGGGGATATAGAAACAAAAAGGAGGAGATCGGGAAGGCGGTTGGTCTAGCGACCTGCGCACAGTTTAGTTTAATTAAATGTTGTTAAATCATCTCAATAGATAATGTGCTATTGACATGGCCAGCACTGTTGGCTGATTTATCGCCGGGCAGCGCGCGATCTATCCGCCATAAATGGCTGGCGAAATATTTGTTTTCGATTTCGACTTGTGTATCTCTGGGCTGCCGCTTCATTTTGGCCAGAATCGTGAGCAAAGTGGGTCGCAACCGGGCCGGGTTGCCTTTTGGCCAAGTCAAGTCAACTATTGGCGGCGCCACACTCCACTTGGCTTTGGCCAGGTGAGCGGTGCTCTTTGATGATTCATCTGTATCTGTCAGATACATGAGTTCATTAGCAGCACTGACACTGAATGTCAACTGCAAGGAAATTGTTTGTCATCTAGGTGCGTGCGTATTTTTAGAATGACGACGTTTCACAGTTAAATGTTGCAATTTACCAGTGGCAAGGGGAAAGGTGCTTAAATTAGCGAAGGTAAAGTCCAGACTGATTTATGGCCTGACATTGGCTGCTCTACAGCCGCCATTACATAAAAAACCGATACGAATACAGAACGTCAAAGACGGAGAAAATGTTTCCCCTTTTTACAATTAGTGAAAGTTTGAAATATATAAAAAAGGGAACCACCACTCACCACGAGATACAGATACAAGCAGTTACAACGCCCAATTGTGATAATTAAAAAAAAAAATGGTTACGAACATGTGGGATATAGAAAATAAATTGCTACCGTCATGATGTATAATGGCAAATAATAACAAATTGTCTTGCACGATCGGCGAACGGTAGCAAATGCCAGTAAAAGCCAGTGTATCTGCCAGATACAATATACAATTGAACCTTGAAGTCGGCTGGTCTGGCCAACTCATGTCATGTCATGGCTGGGCCAACGCAATCGGTTTATTAGCCGAAAACAGTAGCCCACAAGACACACAAGTCGGTCGAAAGCATCTTCAACACACTCGTACTGGTACTCGTACTCAAGCAGAGCATGTCTGGCGTAAATTACAAATGAAGAAAAATTATTTTGAAAACGGGGAAAATAAAAGCAATTTCAACTGACAAAAACACAATTAACTACATGACGTACACACGCTGAGGTTTTCACGACGCACAGCTGAAGATGAACTGGTACACAGGAAAAAAAATATATTAAAAGATTTATAAAATAAGTTTTCTAAACTTGTATTGTCAAAGATATCTATTTTACAATATAAACACAGTCAAAAGAAATACGTTAAATACATTCATATTTTTATAAATTATACATTTTATAATTAAATGTATTATTATTTCGTATTCTTTATTGAGCTTATATTTTCCCCTGTGTACTGAAAAGTAAACGGAAACCGAAATCGTGCAATTGAAAAATTGATATCTTTTCTCGATCTGCTTCCTTCTCGTGAACATCTCTTTTGTCTGTTGCAATTGTGTTTTTAAATCTCCTGCTGTCATTCAATGTGGCTTTGAAAACGTTACCAAACTGTCGACAATTTAATTGATTTATGCTTTTATTGCTCTTTCTTGGGGACTTTTGGCAAAAGTGCAAATTGATTTTGAAAGTTGCAGTTGAAAATGAAAGAATGAGATACCCATCAATATCAATAAACAATTTGACACACATAATTTAGTGAAAGATGTAAATAAAAATCACGATGTCTGCTTTGACGCATAAATAGATTGATAAAGTATCATTTTAAGTTATTCTTTAGCTTGATACAAAAAGGTAATTAAAAAAAAAGGTCAACAATTTCATAAAAAGTGTTAGCTTTTATTAATTTATTGTACAAATCAGATAATTCAGGAGAAATTGTACAAGGTGTTTCACTAAAATCATATTACAAGCACACGCCAATCTTTTCTTTCTCTTTTTTTTAAGCCATACCTATATTTTTCGAGCTTAATATCATCTCAGATTACCGTTCGCTATTTTTTGTGCCATCTAACCTTTACCACAACTGCTTGCGGCCAAGATCTTATTAAAGACAAGAAACCTCAGCACACAGGCTGCCAAAAAACTTTCACAACCCAAAAGAGCAAATTGGGCCTAACACAAATGCGCTAATTTTTAACCAATACAATAATATGTATAAGGCATATAAACCTATCTATATAACAAAAAGGGGAAATGTGAGGAAAACTTGCTACACAGCTTGCTCAGTTAACACCCACGAAACACAACGAAATGTTAAACAATTGCATATGCATTTTTATGGAAAATCGGCTTTACTTCATATATATATATATGTATGTATAAACTTGTCTATAGATCTCTATCAAGAGACTGTCAGGCGCTTTACGCGATCTTCGCTCTCACCCACATCCGATTGGGATCGCTTTTCGCCCGCTAGACGTTCGCTAAAATCGGAGGCTGGAAGTCGCACATCTTGTAAGTTCTTTGCCCGCCATTGCCATTTTGCCAGCCGCATGTATCTTTAACTGGTATCTCGTTTTTGTATCTGTATCTTTTCTGTTTGTTTTGTTTTCGTTTCTGTTTTTGTTTACCAACGCTAAAGATGATTATTATCTAGAGGCCACTGGGCGACGTCGCAGCTCAGGTAAGCATTCGCTACGATTGTGGGAGGCTGGTTGGTACACAGAGATGAAAAACGATCTTAACTGATGATCGATGGGAGCTTAATTAGCTGACAAAACATTAGGATATTTGGTTTCTATTAGGAAAATTATAAAAGCAAGGAACATAATCTGTTCCTTTTTTGACTAGACTTTAATTGCTTATTTTTTTTAAGGTGTATTAGAATAGTATCTTGTATCTGCAGAGCGTGTCTAGTTCTAGCCAATTGCGCAGGTGGCTGGCGTTTATGTATCTATGCATCTAGGCCAGTTGCTCGCTCCTTAAACGGTCATTCTGCAGAAACGCAACGAGCGCAAATTTATGGCCAAAATGTCAAACAATTTTCCATGCAGAAGGCATGTAGGTATATCTCTGCATCTTCGGTAGCTCCAAGTATTGTCAAATTAACAAAGCCTAATGAGCCACTGAAAACGTGTTCAAATTTACCTCTAACTGTGGGTGTAATTGCATCTCTAATGAGCCATTGCCGTGACAATATTCACATTGACTTAATGTAGCAGCAAGTCAAGGTCTTTCTGGGGTTAACTATGCACATTTCATATTTAATTTATACCAAATTAAATTGGCCAAGTCCATGGATTAATGATTTGGGCCAAAATCGTTACGGTTTTAATATTAATTGAATTGATGAGGAAACTAAATCCATGAAAAATATTAAAATAAATTAAGTAATACATGAACAATGTTGTGGATTGATGGATTAGCTTCAACTTTCTTGGTTTATGTTAATTTTAGTGAAGGGCTTTGTGGGTTTTGTTTCTGTAACTTTTACTATTCAAAACAATGGCTGAAAAAACAGATATAAAATATATTTTATTGCAAAACAATTTATGAACTGAAGCTTTATATGTCATATTTAGTTTCAAGTTCGTTTTAAGCTTATTTAGTAATAATGAAAATTGAGACCAGATGCACATCAATTTGAAATGTCATAGAAAAAATTAGGTTTAATAATTGAAGTGTAATACAAAACCATTTAAACAGAAAATCTACATCCGATTTAATACTAATGAAGTATTAAGTATATATACGTGTAACTCAAATGCATTTTTAAGTGCAGATCATTTTCAGCAACGGCAATGTGAAAATTATGAACAAGTTGCCATATCTAATAGATGTGGGTGGCTGCAGTCAACAACAAAATTAAATTAACTGACACGAAAGCCAAACTTGGCAAAATGTTGTTATGACTTCATTGAGCCGCATGCAATTTTTATTTAGCTTTTTTAATCCGCTTGTTTCCTGTAATTTTCCACTTAATGGTTTTTCCCCCCAGACATATAGAAAATAAATTGGTATTTAAAAGTGAAATCTCTGAGAGTATTCATTGCCACTTTTAACTTAGAAGTGGAATATTGAACAGCTTGCAAATGTCAAGTTTACAAAGCTAAAATCCGTTTATAGAATAGATATTCATTATGCGGGGGATCGTTCTCAATGGTTTTCCATTGAGCAGGGGTATATGCAAATATGCCAAATGACATCATACGCAAGTGGAACACAAATAAAAAATGAACTCTATTGGTAGAGATAAATGAAAACGCAGTCTAGCCAATTTAAACATTGTGTATATATATAGTATTATGATTGATGACCTAACGGGTGATACTAATAGGACCCCCCAACTTGATATTGATTACCCCTTGAATAGATCACAACAGCGCAGTGCTGACAGCAAATACAGAGCAGTTCATCATTGGCCAGCGGGTTTGGCTTGGTGGCCTTCGTCCCGGACAGATTGCCTACATTGGCGAAACACACTTTGCACCCGGCGAATGGGCGGGCGTTGTCCTGGATGAACCAAATGGTAAGAAGGGATTTAGGATACCCTCTCTTAGAAACTATAATTTTTATTCTTTTTTCATAGGTAAAAACGATGGCTGTGTGTCGGGCAAAAGATACTTCCAGTGCGAGCCGAAACGCGGCATTTTCTCACGCCTCACACGTCTTACCACATATCCCATGTCTGGGGCCCAGACACCGACTTCTCCCTTGGCCAAAAACTCCCCGGACAGATCGCGCACAGTGTCGCCAACTGCGAGTATTCGTAGTTCTATGCTTCGCAGTCCAGGCATTGGTGGCAGTAAGTTTTCTTATGAGAAAAGGAGAAGAGTTCTTTAAAATTCCAACAAAATATTCCAAAATTCTTAAACAGAAAACGGCATGGCTGTGGGCGATCGTGTGATTGTCTCCTCTGGATTTGGCAGTCGTCCGGGTATCTTACGCTTTTTGGGTGAGACACAATTCGCTCCTGGCAATTGGTGCGGCGTGGAATTGGATGAGCCTAGCGGCAAGAATGATGGAGCTGTGGATGATATAAGGTAAACCAAAGAACCCATTGGTAAAATAAATTAATTTTATTACAAAATTTCAATATTTATATTGCCATATATGACATAAATCAAAAACCAACCAACTTAAATTGCAGATACTTCGAGTGCAAGCCCAAGTACGGGGTGTTTGTACCTATAGCGAAGGTTTCGCTATCGCCGTCATCGAAGAAAACGCGCCTTTCGAGGACCGGATCACGGGAGTCCCTCACCTCGATCGGCACCATGAACAGCATCGCCACCACGGCCACGTCGCGCATGCGCATGAATGCTCAGGTATAAGCGGTGACCTCGAGATGAGCACCCCCACACCATCCAGTTCTCCCACAGCAAAAGAACACTCTAAAATTCCCTAAAAAACAAAACACAAATACCGTTTAAAGTTCTGGTTCTGTTCTTTGTTACTTTTTAAATTTAACCCCTTAACCTATTTGATAATTTATTTTGACCCCTGGTACTAACGCGTTCCAATTCTAATCGCAAAATCCCGTTCCGTTCCTAGCAGCGCAAGTCGATCACGCCCGTTAAGCCAATTTTAGCGACGCCGAAAAGCCAATTTTCCATGCAGGTATGCTAACATCTACAAGATCCACAAATAAATTGTATGGTATTCGCTGTTGGTTTTTTCCTTTCGGTTTTATAAGCTCTATAAGTATGAAGAGCTGTATGCGTATAAGCTGTACTCGCTGTTAGTATACCCAATCCATAAACGTTAAAATTATATTAGTTTTATAAATATTTTGGTATTATTTTAACTTTGCTGTATCTATCATAGATAAACCTTTAAAAATCTTAAAAATATTTTTGGTGTTGCAATATCTTCTTTTGTTTTTCAAGACAACTTATTATGGTTTTCTCGTTAATGGATCGGGTAATTCTTCCTTTATAACTGTGGTTTAACCTTTAGTTTGTAAGCGTATAACTAACATAAGACACCAGTTCACACAAAACACTACACAACAAAAACCCACCCCTCAAACAACAACAACCCCACCAAAACAAACTATGTAAATTAATAATAAATGTATGCCTATGAAGTCTTTTATGCATTTTATGCCATGTGTTTGAGTTGGTTGATTATTTCACAATGTATTATAAACAATATTTAAATATTTCCTGCACGCTTTTGCTGATTACGTGTTGATTGTTCAATGTTTTGTTAAATTTGCTACTTTTACTTGCATGTACATATGTGTTTGCTGTCGCCGGTAAAAGGTAAAAGCCACAATAAAGTAATGGGTGTTCCCTGCTACCAGCTGCACCCTATATATACTCCTGTACATACACCCACACTATATATATCGATATCTGTATCTCTATATCCTCCTGTATCTTGTAAATGTGTGTTCAGGCATTTCATCAAAGCTTGCTTTGTGCTCTCTGTGCTCTGTTTATTTTTTGGTCGATCGATCGATATTGTAGGATCTGCTGCGCGAGAAGCAACAACATGTGGAGCAGCTGATGGTGGAGCGCGACCTGGACCGCGAGGATGCCCAGAATCAGGCGCTGCAGCTGCAGAAGAACATCAACGAGGTAATTATCTTCACCGATACCATGTACGCACCGCTGCCCTATGCGGATAGATCGCGACCCTATCGACCGCCCGGCAAGAAGTCAAGGGTTAAGAGTCCACAGCAACAACAGCATATCTGGGTGCCCACCACCCTGAGCAGCTGCATCACAACGAGTACAAGACCAACTATAACAGCAGCAACATGCAACAGACAGCCCTTGCAACAGCAACAGCAACATGTGTTGCAGGCACAGCAGCAACTTCAGCGGCAGGCCAAGCCAAAGAAAGTTTGGTTTTGCGATAAAAAGAAACTTTTTCCAGTTGGCTGAAGACAACACACAACACACACCGTGCCACCAGTCAATGTTTGCTCAGTCATTTGTGCAGTTTCGGTTTCGACTAATTGCTTTTTGTTTTTGTTTTTATTTAATTTCATTTTTGCATTGCACCCTCGCTGACTGTTTGCAAACAAAAAATTGGTTAATTTTTCATTTATTATTCACTGTTATGTCTTTATAATTTTCCTCATTGTCTTGTGTTTATTTGTTGTTGGTTTAACTCAAACTCACTGAATGTTTGGCACGTTCTTTAACCACCAGTCATCTTCAAATTGTCAGTCATTTTCCCAAAAAAATGATTCATCTAATTAACTTGGAACGCTGAGGAGAGTACAAATTTCATAAGTTTAACTAGGCATGAAAGGTATTTGGGGGTTCAACAGCATTTAACTCGGTCAAAATACGGCTAACAATGGGTTAAGGTTATTCTCGAAATGTATACAAACCAAATTGATTTAAAATCAACTTGCATACATTTAGCATACATTTTGTGCTGGCACAAAATATTTATTTACCTTGAAAATGGCATCTGATAAGATTGAATGGGTTAAATTAACATTTCATTTTTGTTTGCATTCAAAAGAATTTTTATTGAGTTCATCTCGGTTTAGACACACAATTATCATATACACTACCCAAAAATTTTTACAGCAAGAAAAACGCAATGCCACTATTATAAATAAACAAAATTATTTGCATTCAATTTTAGCACTTTTGCACTGTTGCTTACTCTTACAGAGCGTTTTAAAGGTATAAACATATATGGGATTTAAAGCCTATACTTTTAAAACGCACTGTACACTTTTATGTGCTTATTTTGCAACCGCTTTTGGGGGCTTTTCTAGAAGATGACTGTCTGGGATGGTTGAGTTTTGTGCTTTCTGTTTGGTTTTGTTTTCAATAAATTGTTTGTGCTTATAATTATATGCGGATACGTGTTAGACTTTTCTATTTGTCGAGCGCACTTTGAGTTTGAGTGTTAAATTAGCAACAAAATTATCACCCAAAACCCCCGGTCCGAACCACACCAATTCCATTTTTCCTACCTCTCTCATCCACTCAACCATCCATCCTTTTTAACGCAAAACCAAAAAAACAATTTGAAATCAAAATTATGCTGGCCCTAGAAAAGAAATCCTGTTTGCACAAAACTATTTTTGTATGATTCTTATAGCAAATACTGATCGAAGCGGATCGCTGGAGACGCCTGATAGCGAGACACAGCATAAAGGTATCCGATCTGCGACGCGAGTTCCGCGGCTGGTCGGGCAAACACGAGAGGCACTGCATCCTGCACAGTGTCCTCACACCGCTGCGCATCAAGTAGAAATCTGGGACAGATGGATGGGCGACCACAGTGCTCAAAACTATTCGATTCGATGATTTTTGAAACTAACTTTCTTCGCACCGAGAAAGGAACCACTGAAGACAATGTTGAAGTCTGCACAGCGTTTTAAGCTGATACAACCAAATAAAGAATAAAAGATCTTTAAAATAATGAAATGAGAAAAACCTTAAACAAAAAAAAAACGAAAGCCAACCCAAAAAAACCGAAACGAATAAAGTTGATTTAAGAGGTTTATTTGGCTTAAAAAAATGTAAAAACGAAATTTGGAAGAAAAAAATTGGAATATGGAAAAGTTGTCCAACAATTTTTGATTATTTTGTACGAAAGCGAATTTTTCTTGCTGTTGGTTTAGTTGATACGATATATACGAAATACACTTAAATACTATCTATATGAAGTAAAATACATTAACAATATGCAAAACATGTTTTATATCTCCAAATGTTGTTTTATTTATGGTCATTACTTTTTTGCTAATCCCGTTTTCGTATTTCTCTGATCCTTCGATCCTTAGCTGAAGGCAAGAATTGTTGAATTGGAGTCGGCATTGGGAGATGAACGAAAGAAATCGGAAGAGTTGCAGTTCTCTGTAGACGAAGCCCAGTTTTGTGGCGATGAAATGAATGTAAGAAAGAGTAGAAAGTTTGTTTTGAAATATACACTGACTTGTTTTATACAGAATCGTAGTTACAGAAATTTTGAATCCCTGCTTTAAGTGTCCTAAAGCCTATTTTGTAGCATTTTTGGACCTGCTTTTAAGTACTCTTGCGTTTTTTGATAGTTGTCAAGTATAAATAGTTTGTCATTGAACTTTTGTCTTTTGTCATTACTTTTTCATAGGAGTCCAATTTGTACCACATAAAGTGTAATATGATCACCAAATTTATCGTAAATAATTATTTGTAGTCCAATGAATTTTCTAGAACTGAAAGTATGCTATAAAAATCTTAGCAATTCTAAGTTATTTAAACAAACACTTCTAGGTGAGAATTGATAACGGTCGGCACCCAATACAATGGCATTTTGATTTTCATTTATTGATGACTGTAGAGCAGCACTCAGCAATAAAATACTATGACATTTTGTTTTAAATTATGTGCAGCGTACCGCTGCTGTACACTGTTTGCGTGGCGGCAAAGAAGTGGCAGAGCTATGTACATCCTATGCCCGCTTTATATAAAGCCGCCGAACGCAGCTGTAGAGACAGTTCATATGCATAATAGATTTTCAAGTTTTTGTAAAACACCGAAATATCATGTATAATTGTTGGGGAATTTGTTTTAACAAAATCTTTACACATATTTGGTAATTTAGGCAATTATAAATTAATGTTATTTAGCCTTTGCTACACTTTTTTTTTAATCCAAAAAAAATAGATAAAAAAAGCTAGCGTATATTTAATATTTGGCAATTAAAGCAATCATGCTTAATGTTTTAAAGGCTTTGCTACATTTATTGTATTATATTTCAACAGACTAAAAAGAATAAATAAAGCTATTTTAAATTGAAATAGATTTCTGATACATACATAAAAGTGTCGTTAAAATTTTTTCCAACTTAGTTCGATTGTAGAGGTTTCACTTCAGCAATACAGACTCAAACTGTTTTTTAGTATAAAGAATATCTCAAGTAAACATAGTCAGAAACGAAAAAACAAAACAAGTCAATGTATATTCCAATACCATAAGAATTAACCTGACCTTCTATTAATTTTAAAACCCATATTTATAGGCTCAGTCCCAGGTCTACAAAGAAAAAATCCACGATCTGGAGACGAAAATCACACAACTGGTGTCCGGTAAAGAAATAATCTTAATTAAATAATGCGAAATATTACCTATATCCTTCTTTTTGTGTTCCCCTCAGCCACTCCCAGTCTGCAAAGTATACCACCACCACCTCCAGATGATAGCGCTTTCAAGGAAGAAATTGCTAAGCTCCAGGAAAAATTGAATACTCAGCAGAAGGAAACGGAATCCAGGATCGCCGAGCAGCTGGAGGAGGAGCAGCGATTGAGGGAAAATGTAAAGTACCTGCAAGAACAAAATGACACTCTTCAGTCAGAGCTCCTTTCCAAGGATGAGGCCCTGGAAAAATTCTCCCTCTCAGAAAGTGGATTAGAAAATCTTCGCAGGGAACTAGCGCTGCTCAAGGAGGAAAACGAAAAGCAAGCTGAGGAGGCAAAAGCTGATTTCTCTCGAAAATTGACCGAAAAATCGGAACTGCTGGAAAAGGTCACCTCCGAATTGCAAAACCTGAAAGCAGTCTCCGATACTCTAGAAAGCGAAAGGGTTAACAAAACCGACGAATGCGAGATTCTTCAAACCGAAGTCCGAATGCGGGATGAGCAAATCAAGGAGCTAAGTCAACAACTCGATGAGCTAACCACCCAGTTAAATGTACAAAAAGCAGATAGTTCGGCTCTGGATGATATGCTACGCTTGCAAACGGCGGGAAGTGATGAAAAATCGACTCTTTTAGAGAAAACCGAGAAGGAGCTAAATCAATTTAAAGAAGAGGCTTTGACAAATCAACAGGTAAAAGAGGAACTTGAAAAGCAATTAACTGAATTAAAGCAATTGGCGGAACAAGAGAAACTAGTCAGAGAAAAGGCTGAAACTGAAATCAATCAAATAAAATTAGAAAAAGTAACTATAGAGCAGCAATTGGCCTTAAAAGAAACTGAACTGGAGAACTTCCAAAAGAAACAGTCTGAAACAGAGGCTCATCTTCAGGAAAACAAGGATATTAATAGCCAGAAAGATCTTAAACTAATTGAATCTGGTGAAGCCCTTAAACAACTGCACCTTCAACTGGATGAGAAAACTAAAGTCCATGAAGCACTCTTAGCTGACCTGGAAGAGCTGAAGAAAAATCAGGAAACTGTTTTAAATAAAAAGGATCAGGATATACAGCAGCTTGAGGCGAAGTCAAGTGAACTGGAAGGAGCTCTAAAGTCCACTCGAGAACAATTAGAGCTACTTCAACAACAGGCAGCCGCATCTGGAGAAGAGGGATCCAAGAACTTGGCCAAATTGCAGGAAGAGATTAGTCAGCTTAAGGTCCACGCTGAGAAAACTCAATCCGAGCTAAAATCTAGCCAATCGAATGTGGAAGCAAAGACCAAACAATTGGAGTTAGCCAATGGAAGTCTTGAGGAGGAAGCCAAGAAGTTGGTCAATCTGCAGGAACAGATTACCAAACTTAAATCCGAAGTGGAGGAGACCCAGTCAGCTCTCAGTTCAAGTCATACGGATGTGGAATCCAAAACTAAGCAGTTGGAGGCAGCCAATGCCGCTCTCGAAAAAGTCAACAAGGTAAGGATCAAAATTGTAACATAGTATTTAAAAGTTTATATTTCTTATAAACCTATTTTCAAATAGGACTACGCGGAATCCCGAGCGGAAGCTTCCCATCTGCAAGATCAGGTGAAGGAGATCACCGACACACTTCATGCTGAGCTCCTGGCTGAACGATCCTCCTCCAGTGACCTACATACCAAACTCACCAAGTTTTCGGATGAATTAGCCACAGGTCAAAAGGAACTCACCAGCAAAGCCGATGCCTGGAGCCAGGAGATGCTGCAGAAGGAGAAGGAACTGCAGGAGTTGCGAACGCAGCTTCAAGATAGTCAAGACACCCAGACAAAACTGAAAGCAGAGGTAGAAAGGAAGGAGAAATCTCTGGAAGAATCTATCAAGAATCTTCAGGAACAACTAGCTAAGTCTAAGGCCGAAAATCAAGAACTGAGCTCTGGCACGCAGGAGACCATCAAAGACCTTCAGGAGCGTCTGGAAATCAGCAATGCTGAGATTCAACACAAGGAGAAAATGGCCACGGAAGATGCCCAGAAAATAGCTGATCTTAAAACACTTGTGGAAGCCATCCAGGTGGCTAATGCCAACATATCTGCCACCAACGAAGAGCTCTCCACCGTGCTTGAAGTCCTTCAAGCGGAAAGGAGTGAAACTAATCACATATTCGAGCTTTTTGAAATGGAGGCGGATATGAATTCAGAGAGGCTAATCGAAAAACTCACAGGGATGAAGGAGGAGCTCAAGGATACCCATCTTCAACTGGATGAACAGCAGAAAAAGTACCAGGATCTGGAGTTGAAATTGGAGCAGACGCAGCAGAGTGAGCAGAATTTGCAGCAGGAATCTTTGACTTCCAAGGAGCAAATAAAGGAACTTCAACAGTCACTCGCAGAAGTTCAAGACTCTCTTAAGCAAAAAGAAGAACTTGTCCAGAAATTGGAAGGTCAGCTTAAGGAAACCAGTACCAAATTAGAAGGCGAATCAACTTCCTCCCAGGAAGTCCAACTAAAACTTGAAGAAGCTGAGAAGAATAATAAGAACTTACAAGAGGAGAGTGCCAAATTAATCGAACAACTACAGGCGCTACAAAAAACCCAGTCGGAACTCTCCGAGTCCCTCAAGAAAAAGGATGAAGTTGTACAGAGTCTAGAAGATAAACTGAAAGAAAGCAATACTCAACTAGAAATCCAAAATTCTGCGACTAAAGAAACCCAAGTTAAATTGGAGGAGGCACAACAGAGGGAGAAAGCCTTGCAGGAAGAGGCTGCCAAATTATCCGGTGAGCTGCAACAAGTCCAACAGGCCAATGGAGAAGTAAGGGATTCTCTAGTAAAAGTAGAAGGGTTGGTGAAAGTTTTCGAGGAAAAACTCCAAGCCGCCACCGCCCAGTTGGAAAGCCAACAGGCCACGAACAAAGAGCTCCAGGAGTTGCTGTTGAAATCACAGGAGACGGAGGGTAACCTACAGGGAGAATCTCTGGCAATCACCGAGAAACTACGCCAACTAGAACAGGCCAATGGGGAACTTAATGAGTCACTGTCCAACAAAGAGAAAAGCCTTAAAGATTTTGAAAATAAACTTCAAGAAAGTAATTCTCTACTGGAAGGACAAAAGAAAAGCCACAACGAACTCCAGGACAAGTTGGAAAAGGCTCAGGAAAAGGAAAGGAATCTACAAGAAGAAACCTCCAAGTTAGCTGAGCAGCTGAGTCAACTACAGCTTAAGAATGAGGAGCTTCAAAAATCCCTCCAGCAAAAGCAATCGCTTTTGGAAAAAGGCAACGAATTCGACACACAGCTGGCGGAGTATCAGAAAGTCATCGATGAAATGGATGATTCGGCCTCCGCTAAGTCCAAGCTGCTGGAACAGCTGCAAAATAGAGTTGTGGAACTGGAGGCTGCACTCCATAAAGCCAACGAAGCCCAAAAGACTGCTAATCAGGAGACTAAGGAACTGAGGCGCCAGCTGGAATCGCTGGAGTCGGAGAAGACTAGGGAGATTTTGACCCTCAAGACACAGATGAATGGAGCAGGCAGCAGGTCAGGAAAGGGTGATGAACTTGAGGTGGGTTTTCCTTGATTTATTAGTAAATATTTTTTTTATTAAAGGGTTTCTCCTTCTTGTAGTCACTAGACACCGAGACAAGTCTTGCCAAGATCAACTTCCTCAACTCAATCATTGCCGACATGCAACAGAAGAATGATGCTCTCAAGGCCAAAGTCCAGACCCTCGAAACCATGCCTATGGATTTTACCAAGTGAGTTTCCTTACTTGAAGATAATCATCTCGTATTTTAATTATTTCTAGATAATTTACTTTATATTTATGAAAATTATTATTTATTGTTTCGTATATTTCCAGACCGCATGCCTTTGATGTGCTGACGAAGCGGAAACCGGCTCCCAGACTTTTCTGCGACATCTGCGATGAGTTTGATCAGCACGAGACGGAGGACTGTCCAATCCAGGCTAGTGAAGATCGGGATTACTCCCCGCCCCCATCGGAGGCCAATAACAATGAGAAGGAACGCAAGCTGCCTGCACCCAGGAAATACTGCGATTCCTGCGAGGGTAACTAGAAATTTTAATAATCCTTTCTGAATAATATCTAACTTTGTAATTTATATTACCTTTTCAGTGTTTGGCCATGATACCAGCGAATGCGCCGATGATGAAACCTTTTAGCTCTACATAAATTCTAAATTATTTTCCGTTTTATATTGTTTTGACTTTATAGCATAATCTTATTGCGAGATCTATCAGATGAGATAACTTTTACCTCAGCAGAGAGCTTCACTCAATCACACAAAAACATTCTCTATCTAAAATTGTGATCTTGCGTTATGCACACATTTCATGGATAATAGTCTATTTTAAATTGTTTTTATTTATTTAATGCGATTCGTGGCCCACACAATCGGTTGTTTTCGTAATTTTTGAGTGTAAACATAGTGTAAAAAAAAATTAAAAATCAGAATTTGGAAGAAAACTGCAAAAATTTATTGGGTTTTTATGAATGGTATAAGTAAAATTAATCGCCGCCCTCCTTTTTCTCCTTAATGGCATCCTGGAAATAAAGAAATGTCGGAATTTGGAATGGTAGTTGCAAGGATACAGATAGGTTTTCCTTTTCTATATAATGGATAATGGATATACGACTTGTCTTACTTTGAATCGCTCTTCGAAAAGGGATAATTCCGCCAGAAGATCGGTAATGGCATTCATGAAGGCTTCTTGAGGGGAATAATCCGCCGTAGTTTGAATGCGGATAACGAACTTGTGCTCTAGAGGATGGGGAACTTTGTAGCCGGCAAACAAAACATTGGGGTCCTTCAGCAATTGGCTGTGCGGCAAAATACCAAATTAGTTCGTGATTATCTCGATTTACTAAACAACTTACTTGCGGATCATGTTTCCCAGAGTGTGATCCTCTTTGTTTATCGTAAATATAGCCGCATTTGTAACCTTGGTGTCCAGTTCCTTGATGATTCTGCCACCGCGCCAAAACAAACACGAAAATTGGTTACAGGTGGTTAATTGGGGAAGTTTTCTACGTTTACTCACTTTTTCTCGCCTTCATAGAGGAGGAAGGACTCAAAGGTGGGCGGCGCATTCATTTTGTATGCTTATTTTCGGTAAATTTCTGCCAAAATCGAAATTGTTTATTAAATACGCCTTCCACGCTCAGAAAATTCGCTGGCTTAGTGTTGCAAAACGCATAAACGCGTTTAGGGATGCTGGTTTATTTCAATCTAGCTAAAATTGGCTAGAAAAATTTAAGTAGTTAATTTTGAAGGAGGTATAAAGCATGTTTGTTTAAATAAAACAAAACTTAAAAACTAAAATATGTTTGATACTGCCAAGTCAAAAATAATTGAAAAGGTTTTTCTGAATAAAGAATAAAAAAAAATTCTTCAGTTCAAAGTTTTATGTATTATATTTTAAAAAACGTATCTTTTTATTTTTTAATTTAGTTCATTATGTGTTTTCGTATTTTTGGATAGCTATACAGCCAGCTAGCTATTCTAGCTACTTTTTTTGTAATCTACCCACAAAGACATGCCAACTCTGCAGCCGATAGCTATCGCATACACAAAACTGTTGTTACTCATCTCTATATTTCGGTGGTTGAATTATTTGCAATTTTCATTCAACCGCGCCAAACACTGCGCATTCCGCCACTTTTTCAGAATTGACACGAAGCCAAGCTAAATTTTTTGTTGTAACACTATTGAAATGAGCGAATTGAGTGCCACAGCTGGTGTCCCCGATGGCGAGGAGGCCAATCCGCTGGAGCAGTCGACCATAACGATGCTGGATGTCCTTGAGCAGGAAAAGGAACTGGAGGACGAATACGCCGCCGTGCTGGGCGCCTCCGACGAAAAGTCCTGCACGTATGCCAAAGGCGCCATTGGGCGGCAGGCCCTGTACTCCTGCCTCACCTGTTGCCCCGAGGCTCGCGAGGATCTGGCCAAGGCCGCTGGGATTTGTCTGGCCTGCTCCTATCGCTGCCACGAGCACCACGAACTGGTCGAGCTCTATACCAAGCGAAACTTCCGCTGCGATTGCCCCACACAGCGGTTGGGCAAGTGCTCTCTGAATCCACAAGTCGAGGGAGTTCAGCCCCGCAACGAGGGTAATCTGTATAACCAGAACTTCCAGGGGCTGTACTGCAAGTGCAAGCGACCCTATCCCGATCCGGATCGCACTGTTGAGGAGGTGATGCTTCAGTGTGCCATCTGCGAGGATTGGTATCACTTGCCGCACATGAAGGCGCCCGGTTCCAGCGAGAAGTGGCTGGATGTGTGCAGCGAAATGATCTGTGATGGCTGCATGGATGCCAAACCCTTCCTGAAGGACTACACTGGACTGGCTCTGCAGCCTGTGGTGGAGGACAAACCAGAGGCCGAGGATAGCCAGCTGAAGAACGAGTTGGACCGCAGCATCTGCGACATCATTAAGGTTCCTGAAAACGAATCTCAAGCGGAAGAGGACGAGCCCAGCCAGAAGCGCCCCAAACTGGAGGAGTGTCGTCGTCCAAAACTTACCAAGGAACACCAGGGTGAGATAATTAGTTTAATAATTTAACACTCATAGATGCAGAATGCCTTCTTCAGGGTTAATTTATCTTATTTTGATAACTAGGAATTTCTTTGAACCTTTAAAGCTACTATATAATTCTTATTTCTAATTTCGATACCCTAACAAAAGTCCATGATTATATGCATCAAGAAACAACCAAAACTATTATTTAAAAGCAAAGTTAATACATGAAAAGCAAGTCAAAGTTCTTTTTGCCATCGCCCAAGTAAAGGAAACCATGTTTGTGGGAGTTGATTTTGTGGAAGAATGTCATGCCCAGCCAGAGGCACGACTTGATCACCACCAGACCCTCGTTCCGTTGCATATTCAACGCAAAAGATTGACACAGCGGTATTACACAGTCGATAGTGTCCAGGAAGTCAATGGCGTAGTTATAATCACTCCTCTTGGCCAAATTAGCCTTAAGATCGTTGCGGGGCAGACGATAGAGCTGATAATAGGACTGGTTGTCGATCTGCAGGTCGTTTAGGCCCCGGAACATCTGATTGGGTATAACACGGCCATCGGTCATCTTATAGAAGGCACCGCGGGGACAAATGGCACACTCCTCGGTAATAATAAACACAATGGCAGCTAGTCTTTCCTCCTCCTTGAGTTTTACCACTTCAGGGCGACTGATGCCAGCCACTTGATTGGCCACAATGTCAAAAGTGGGGTCCTGTGAGCAGTGATAATCGGAAACTCAGATAAATATCCAAAATTGGTTTACTAACAACTTACCAGCTTAACGTAGGTCATCAGGCTGGGATCTCCTATAAATGGATCCCTTGCCAGTATGGTGGCCTGAAAGATCTTGGGGCTCTGGACAAACGGCAACAACTGCCACTGGAACTGGTCCAGACTGTAGAAATACTTGCGATCCTTTAGGCAATCGTTTGTATAGCCAAAGGCAATGTAGTAATCGTTCTTGGTGGCCGTAATGCGACCCCACAGATACATTCCCGAGAAGCGGTTATCATTCTGCAAAGCAATCAGCGAGTTTTCAATCAAAATGCGCTGCTCCGGCGATAGCTTCATACCGCAGTACATGAGGCAGTCCAGGCCCTCGCTAAAGTACTCTAGATTCATAGTGGATCTTAGAAATTTAAATGTAGTGTTTGAATAAGAGGGGGTTTGCAATGTTGGAAATATTTAAAATAAATCTCAAAACTGTCTAGATTAAACTAAAGAAAAAAAACAAACCATGTATGTTGATATGTGGGGGAGTCATTCTAATACGCCAGATTCTGTTTTATTAATGCCTCAGTTCGTTTTTTTCTTTCGCATTAAACGGCACAAGCTTTTGCAATTCCCACCATCAACGCATATCTAACTAATTTTCCCATTCCCCTTTTAAGGAGCCGCTTTCTGGACTAATGACTGGCGCAAATCGCTTTGCCAGTGCTCCGAATGCCTGTCGCTGTACAAGGAACTAGGCGTGGAGTTTCTGCTGGACGCGGAGGACTCGGCTAAGACGTACGAGGAGCGCGGCATGAAGCGAGCGGAGGAGAATTCCAGCTATGAGCAAGGCATTCGGGCACTGGCCTCCATTGACCGCACACAGCAAATCGATGCGATTACCGAGTACAATCGCATGAAGGACAAGCTGAAGGAATACCTGCAGGCATTCGCCGCCAGCAAGAAGGTGGTCACCGAGGAGGACATCAATCGGTTCTTTGCCGGCATGCGCAATGAGAATAATGCCAACCTGGGTCAGCCCTACTTCTGTCGCTAAAAAGTTAGCTCTCTGAATTATTATACTACAGGTCCTAAATCATTATAGTATTACCCACATTCCCCCCATTGAAAAAGCGTACATACTTCATGTAAATTCTTAAGTTATATTTTATTATAAACAAATATCATTTTTAAAACATTTTTGTCAATAACGAATAATCGTAACAAGGCATCGGGCAATGAGATTCGCATTTCCCTCTATTGCTATTTAGCCAAAAAATTTATGTACAATGTGGTGAAGTAGAACTATGTACGACAGGCTTGAAGTTAATCTTGAAATGGTAACCTATCTTGAGACCATTTTACATAGCTCTAATTGGTTAATTTCTGGTATATTTTATGAATATATATGTACATTAGTAATTAGCAAAGTTGTTGTTCATTTGCATGGGTGAAATTCCCACTCTGTTGAGTTCTTCCTCAATGCCCTGGATGAGTTCATTGGTGTCGATGGGTGCCATTCCTATGCTGCTGGAGATTAGATCACTGAACGATTGGATGGGTGCATCTAACTGCGAATCCTCCTGCTGCTGCTGTTGGTTCTGTTGCTGCGGGTAATGAGCTTGTTCTGGCTGTGTTTGGGGCACATATTGAAGCTGCTCTGGCTGCGATTGAGGCGGGAACTGCTGAGTCTGTGGGAATCCCTGTTTAACGTCCAGATTTCCTTGTGGAGGTAAGCTTATGGCACTCATTTTCTGACTCAAGAAATCATTCATTAAGTTGTTGTTGTTATTATTATTATTGTTAATTGGAATCATGGAGCCACCACTGAAATGCGTTGGACTACAGCCGTTAATTGGAAAGCTCTCTGACAGATATGGAGTATTATTATTCTGCCCGATTTGCATTGGCGGAATGCTATCCACTGTACTGCAGTTGGAGCGAGGCGACGCGAAATTGATTGAGAAGTTCGAAGTCTCCGGCAGATACAGATGATTATTGCTCTGTCCGAATTGCATCGGCGGAAAGCTATCCACTGTACTGCCGTTGGACCGAGGTGATGCGAAATTGTGCTCCACTGATGGACACTGGCTGCTCCGGCTATCCACATCCATAAATCCGTTCTCCACCTTGATGTCGTGCACGAAATTGGGACTTCCACCTGGAAACATCATGGGCACACCCGAAGGCACCTGTGCCTGCGGGGCTGTGGTCGTAATTTGTGGAGCTGGGACCGCATACTGGCCTAGAAAAATTAATAGAACAGTGTAAGCCGTGTGATTTAAATATTAACAAATTAAACGTTAATTAAACGCAACAGTAAACCACATAAAGCATTTACATAATGGAGGCGAAACTGAGGTGAAACTAAAGCAATTTGCGGAAACTCAAAAAGGACAACAGCAAACCACAACATCAAGCAGGCAATATCAACTTACATTATTTGATGTCCAACTTTGGGAAAAAAGGAGCTTGGAAACTAGACAAAAAATTGGAAGGAGAGACACAACATCGGTGGCCCTAAGTTGTAAATACCCTTGCCACGCCTATTTAATACTTTTGCCATCAATTTGTTTTCTTTTTGAAAGGATATATAAGTAAAAAACTACAAATTATAAATATATTTAGTGAAGAAAAAGACGTAGGAAAATACTTTGTATTTTACAATTAAATATTGTTAGCGGACAAAAGTAATCTTTTAAAACAATTAAAAAATACAAATTTGAATAATGTATATTTTATTGTATTTTTTAGAACTAAACTTATTTAAACTAATTTTGGAAGTTTTCTAAAAATATAACAATTACATTTGATATCAACGGCTTTTCCCAAAAACTTTTATTCATCAAATTTCAATACATTAAGAATGGGTAGAACAGATATTTTCAATTTAAACGTCCTATATATATCAACTATTTTTTGACAACAGTTAAACATTTTCCAACAATTCTGAGACGGA